GTTCGTGCATAGACTCGTATACTGTCCTCGTAAGTTTCCTTAACCTGTATCTGGACTAGCGAATAGACCCCACCTCGTCCAACTATTGCTTGGCTGATAGATGTGACGTCACATAACCCGCACGCCAATGAGCGTGGCGTCAGGCTATGACGTCATCTCCCGCGACAACCAGCCACTCAGCGCTGGAGGTGCGTAGCGTGTAGCATTATTGGGAATTTGCTGCCGGGCGGCCGGCTGGGCGGTGGGAAGTTATAAGTGCGTGGTCTTATTGCACACGATCGGGGTGAGCTATCCCACGTTTTCGGGGCGGAAAGTTTCAGTGCAGCATCGGTGCGTCTGCCACGGTGGTCTGTGTCGATGGTATAGAAAATTACTCAAGCAGAGCTCAGAAAAGAATGAATGATTCCGGGTAGTTGCCTCGAAATAATCCGTTTCAAGAATACAGCTTCCTTCTTAGCGTACTGTATCACTTGTTAATTCTTCAAAAAGCAAGCTCTGAGCAATAACAGACTTCTTTGCATTGCTGTTGACAATTTAAGTTGCTTTTGGACGGTGGCTCGCAGCCCCAATATGCTGCCGCGTAACTCTATTCCAACGACGAAACGGCAACTTAGCGAGAATCGAAAATTTAACGAAGTAGGTACAACAGGAGCTGGCAAGGCTCCTGCATTGGTCTATCCGTCATGAGTGACACACCGGGGTAATGTGTCACGTCAGGGCAGAGCTGTGTTCTATGCCGGGTCTGGATTCGGGTCTTGATCGGCATCGGTGGGCACGGCCGCCCTGGCCGGACTGCCGGCGTCGCTTATGCTCGAAGGATTGGATAAACGGCGCTTGATTTATATGAGTAGGTACTCCGGCTAATGTCTTTACTCATGTCTCACTTCGTCACACTGTCAGGGTGGCCACTCTGTCATTCCCAGACATGTTATGTTTTCTTTCGACCCGCTAATCTAAGTTACACCTGGCGTCGATTCTGTTGCCCCAGCATCTGACATCAACGTATCTGAATAATGACATTGGTGACGCATATGCTCGTCAAAGCCACCCCCAAACTTGGGCCGATGACTGTCGGGTCTCCTCCATATTCTGTCCTTGTGCATACTGCATTGCCAGCCCCTGCTGTACGTATATCGTGAATTTTCGATTCTCGCGAAGTTGCCGTTTCGCCGTTGGAATAAAGTTGCGCGGCAGCATATTGGGGGTGCGAGCCACCGTCAAAAACTAACGTAAATTGTCAACAGCAACGCAAAGAGGTGTGCTATTGCTCAGAGTTTGCTTTTTGAAGAATTAACAAGTGATACGGTACGTAAAGAAGGCAGCTGTATTCTTGAAACGGATTGTTTCGAGGCAACTACCCGGAATCATTCATTCTTTTCTGAGCTCTGCTTGAGTTATTTTCTATACCATCGACACAGACCACCGTGGCAGACGCACCGATGCTGAACTGAAACTTTCCGCCCCGAAAACATGGGATAGCTCACCCCGATCGTGTGCAATAAGACCACGCACTTATAACTTCCCACCGCCCAGCCGGCCGCCCGGCAGATGTCGTGGCGCGCGGTGCCGATAAGGCGCTACCGCCGCCGTGCGGCGTCGAACTCTCGCCCTTATTGACACCGGTCGGTCGGCGGGCGTAACATGGTCCTCTTTAAGCCGTTTGAGGAGCCCCTAACAGTTAATACTTTTCAGTAAAAAGGGCATCATTGGTCTCAGAAAAGAATACCGCACCACATGAGCCATGAGCCCATATACTTTTCCAAAATTCGTTTTTTTTTTAACAACCCTACTGCATATCCATGTGCCAGAGTTGGGGCGCTGCTGCACGTGCGCACGTGCAGGGGTCGTTTCCAGATCTCGAGAACGGCTCGACCGATTGCGTTCAAATTTGGTACACAGGGACCGGTTAGTAAGGTGCCGTGCACAAGTCAGTTGGGACCCATTTTGCACGTGCGCACGTGCAGGGTGCCGCTTCCAGATCTCGAGAACGGCTGGGCCGATTGTGCCCAAATTTGGCACATCGCTAGAGACCGGTTAGTAGGGTGCCGCGCACAAGTCAGTTGGAGGTACCCCCTCGCAATTTCGCACGTGCAAGGCCCACCCTCTCGCTCGCTCCGTTAGTCGCCCCAAAAGGCGTTATACTGGCGAGATTAACACTCAGTCATCACGCACCTCATCGGTCAATGGATTACACAAGATAGTAAATTATACTACATAACGTTAGCGGTACATATACACGGGCACCCACCGAGATCAGGAAGGGACACGCGCGCTGGGATATTCCAACACAGGATCACCACATCTTTTTTCCACTAAAGGGCTATTTTATTGTCATAGCAATTTAATGCACCCTCCACTTCCATACACACATACAAACACATACACATCAAACGCTTACATACTATGCGATCTTTCGCCGCCGCTCATGTGTGTCATCTCACGTTCGGAGCGACACACATACCTTTTACATCCAATCGCACCCGCAATCATAACACACATACATCCATAGTACATACACGTATATCTGCCCGTATCAAGAATTACCTTCGTCTCATGACATATCACATCATTTACCTAAACTTCTCCCGCCGACCCTGCGCCCACCCGCCCCCTCCCCAAATTTTGAATTTCCACGCTCTCGGCTAAGCATGTAAACAATGCACCCCATATATCATCAAATCCTGTTCTTCGATTCGTCTAACCATAGACATATTTTTCAACCCCAAGGTATTTATAACGTGCAACTCGAACTTGTCTTTTGTTAAGCTGCTGTTATTTTCCCTATTGTGCCAGACGAATTGCTTTCCTAATTGTCACGGAACTCAGCACCAAAACTCAGCTCGGATTCTTGCAGGCCGTTTATATCGTAATGGACAAAACTGAAACATCACAACTCCAATGTCCACCGGCCAGAACCCTCAAAACCAGCAAAATCACGGCACACCGCCGCAACCATCACGCAACAACCACACATCAGACACAATTCCCGAACTTTCGGGCCGCCGCTCGCCCCCGGCTCCCGGTCAGCTGACCGCCGGAGGCGACCAATCCGACGCCAGGCGCCGTCTCTCGGCAGCACCGACTTGGCCGAACGGTCAGCACCGATCGAGGCGACCTCTATTATCCGGCATTGCCAAAAATTCCCGAAAGAGGCGCTATTGATCCGTAACATAACTCCCCACCTTGACCCTCAGGTCAACACAAAACAGCTTCGTAACACTAGCAAACAGGTTTGATCAGCCATCACTAGGACAATCAGCGATAAATCTAGCACGAGTGAGGCACAGCGACAATGGAACACATTCCCAGTCAACGCCACCACACAACCTATAAGCTATACGATTACAAACACAAACATCGATCAATCGTTGTGAAACAAATTGCGCAGCACGACGTGCGTCAGCACAACGTCCCCTCTCGACTCAGTGACGTACCAGACCACAAAGGGCACGCTGGATCCGGCTCTCAGGAACACAAGGATCCGAATCACTCCTGAGCTCGCGTAGGATCCTGGGAGGATAGAGAGGGAACGACCTCCAGGTCGTATAGCCGCTGCACAGCGCGCGTCCTCAGTCCTTTCTCTGTACTTACCTCCACTGACCTAGTCTTCCCATCTCGCCCAGGGAGCAGTCTCGTGACCCTGCCCATGACCCACTTCTGCCGGGGAACATGGTCCTCCTCCAGAAGCACTACTGACCCCTCTGTCAACTTACCGTGAGAACGGAACTGGCGCACAGTGGGTGGAAGACTACGCAAATATTCCTTCCGCCAAACCTGCCAAAATCGGTTCAGACGCCGTTCTCTGATCCGCGCCCTCTCCTGGAGCGCGCTGCCGTCAACCGACCGGGCACTCTCAACCCGGCTCTGGAAGCCCGCGCCTCGGCCGATTAAGAAATGACTCGGGGTGAGCGCGTCTGGGCCCTCAGGGTCGTCTGTGACGGCCGTGAGCGGCCTTGAGTTTACACATGCCTCTATCTCAGACAGCATGGTCTCCAACTCAGTCCGAGTCACACAGCGGGTCCCCAGGGACTTCCTGAGACCCACCTTGACAGAGCGAATGAGCCGCTCGTAGAATCCGCCGTGCCACGGCGCCACCGGCGTCGTGAAACTCCACTCCGGAGCCCTGTCTCCAAAGTACCTCCGCAGGGACACGTCTGCGGCCTTGAAATATCTCGCATTATCAGAAATAACACGAGACGGAAAGCCACGTCTGGCAGCAAACCGTCGGAATGCTAACAAAATGTCTGCCTGCGACAGAGACTCCGTCAGCTCGAGATGCACCGCACGCACCTGCACACACGTGAACAGAGCCACATAGAACTTCTTGTTCGGAAAATCAACACAGAACAGAGGTCCGGCCATATCCACACCGACGGTCGAAAAACAAGGAGACTCGCTGACACGAGCAGCGGGGAGCGGCGCCGCCGGCTCGTTACACGCACGTGCGTCATGTCTCCGACAGGCGACACACTGGCGCTTCACACGCTTCGCCAAACACCTCAGCCCCACGATCCAGAACCGTTCGCGCAGAGCGGTGATCATCGTCGAAACACCGGCGTGTCTCATCAGCAGGTGCTGCTCTCTGACTAACAGCTCTGAAAGACGACACTTCGGCAAGATCACAGGGTGCTTCTCAGCATACGACAGATCTGAGAGCTGTAACCTGCCAGTCATACGGACCAAACCGTCACTGTCGATGAAAGGAGTCAGCTTAGTGAGGCTCGAGCCCCGCGGAAGGGCCTTCCCGGCATGCAGCAGCCTGATCTCGTCAGAAAAGACGTCACCCTGTACGTCTCTGATCAGAGCCAGTCGTGCCTCGTCCAACTCACCAGTTGTGAGCTCACCATCTCTCCTCTCAGAGGGGTTCCGAGCGTTGTGCACAAACCGGCGCACCCAAGCAGCGATGCACACAGCCTTACACATAGACCCCCACCTATCCACTGGGAACACAGGCTCATGCTTCGTCACACTCGGTGACGTCAGAGCTGCCGTCGGTGACGTCAGAGCTGCCGACTCCTCCTCAGTCTCATCTGCGCTCTGCTGAGCCGCAGAGCCGTCTGAGTCACCCGACCACGGGTGGAGAATTGTGCTGGACTGGGGGTGCTCGAGCTCTCCCAATTCCACGCCGGCCACGCCGGCTTGGCTTTGGAGCCGCGGCCGGGCGGCGCGGGTCAAGGTCACCGCTAGGCGGCGGCGGATTTGCTTCGCCCGAGCACCCCCAGCTGGTCACAATTCTCCACCTATGCACCCGACCTGAGCCAAACAGGGCCCCTCAGCCAAACATCCGACTCCAGGAGGGACTCCGCGGACACACCGCGCGTGAGCAGGTCTGCAGGGTTGAGCTCACCGCTGCAGTGTCCCCAGTCAGACGGGCTCGTGAGAGACTGAATCTCTCTCACCCTGTTCGACACGAACTGTTTCCATCTCGCTGGGTCCGCCTGTACCCAGCCGAGGACAATTCTGCTGTCAGTCCAGCAGAGCGAGGGCGTGGTCTCCGGCAGCTGCAGTGCCCGCCGGACGAACACCACCAGCCTGGCCGCCAGCAGGCTGCCCAACAGCTCCAAACGAGGCAGAGTGTGAGCGGCGATCGGCGCCACACGTGCCTTCGCCATGACCAGACACACGTCACGAGAGCCATCCTCACGAGGAGCACACACATAGACCACCGCCCCGTATCCCTTTGGCGAGGCGTCACCAAAGGCGTGAAGGCTTACACTCTCCCCACCGTTCCAACCTGAGCTGAAGTAGCTCCGAGGAATCTCCATCTGCTTCAGGACCTCCAGTCCTCTCACCCAGTCAGAAAACACGTCACAAAGCTCAGGAGGCAGGATCTCGTCCCAGCCCAGACCGATCCGCCACAGGTCCTGAAACAGACATTTTGCCACCATTGTGTGAGGAGCCAGCCACTGCATCGGATCAAACAACCTCGCGATCAGACTCAACAAGACTCGCTTGGTGGGCACCACATTGTCAGGCAGGCTGACATCCTCAAACACGAACACGTCCCTATCAGGTAGCCATCTCAGTCCGAGAACCTTCACGCTCTCGTCCTCAGGACTGCCGGCCAGCGCGTGAGTTCGATCGAGTACGAGCTCACTGTTGGAAGTGCACTTCGTGAGCTCCATCCCAGCGTCACTGAGGATAGACTGGGCCTCGGTGAGCAGCTCACGAGCACCCTGCTCGGTATCACACCCAGACACAAAGTCGTCCATGTACAGAGAAGTCTGGAGCTCTCGGACAGCGCGAGAGGGTGGATACTTCTCCAGATGGTACTGGATGGTCGCGATCAGCAAGAACGGCGAGCACGCCGCTCCGAAAATGACTCGCTGAAAGCGCATGGTCCGAATACGACCGTCCAGCTCCCACAGAAAGCGGAGAACGTCCTGATCTGATCTCCTCACCCGGATCTGCAGGAAAGCTTTCCGGATATCGCCGGTGACCGCGAATCTCCACCGGCGAAACCTCAACAACACCTCACACAGGTTGGGAATCAGATTCGGACCAACCTCGAGACAATCATTGAGCGAAAGACCGTGCCTGTCAGTCGCCGACGCGTCAAACACCGGACGCACGCGCGTGGAGGTGCTACTTTCCTTCACTACCGGCCTGTGCGGTAGGTAGAAAGTGGGATTCTCTGACACGAGCTCCTCTCGTGGCACCTCTGCGATCACCCCATTCGCCTCCATCTCCTTCAGAGCCTGATCATACTCCTCACCCAGCTTGGAGTCCTTTCCAAGCTTCCTCGAGAGACCAGCCAGTCGTACCTCAGCAACCTGCCTATTGTCGACTAGCTCGCCTGGGTCTCTCTTCCACGGCAGAGCTACCTCATACCGCCCATCGTCCATTCGAATGGAATCGCGAAACTTAGCCTGAACCTCAGCCGAAGAATCAGCATCACTCGAATCATGGATCCCTATCCCTTCTAGATCCCAGAACTGGCGGAGACGGCTCTCATGCAGGTCTCCCAGACAGAGCAGTTGACACCCCAGCTGTGGGCCCCTCTGTCCCTCACAGTCACCCACCAGGCCGGACACCATCCGGCCGAGCACTGTCTCCTGAGCTACAGGGCCCCCCTGGGTGCAGTGCACCGCTGGCCTTACCATACTCCAGTAGTAGTCCATACCGACGAGGATGTGCACGTGCAGCGGCTCATCGGGAGGAGGGCGGCCAGCCATCGGGAGGTGAGACAGCTCCGCCATCACAGAGGCAGGCAGGCTGGGCCGGGACAGGGGCGCACAGATCACAGGAACCTCGATGGCCTGCATCGTCACTGAGGAAGGTACATCAGCATTAGCACTCGACAGCGACAGCTCGAACACATCACGATCTACAACACCAGAGCTCCTCCCTCCAAACGCAGCATAGGCCACACTTTCTGATCTGACCCACTTTGGGCTCACCTGCTTCACCACATCAGCTGAAACATAGCTCCTATCCGAGGCAGAGTCAAACAATACATTTACTGAGAGCTCCTGACCACGCTTGTCTTTCACTAGGGCTCTCACAAGTGGCAGTGCAGTGACTGCACCGTCACTACCACAAGGTAACACTGCATCTGTCGGCACACTAGCACTAACTGCAGTCATAGCTGGGCTGGCCTGCTGCTCAGCCCGCTGAGGTGGGACACTGTTCGATCCACGTACCAGTCTGGAGCAGTACACCGCATGGTGCCTGCCACCACACTCTGAGCAGTTCATCCTACATCTGTTGGCCCTGTGTCCGCCCTGAAGGCAGCGGAAGCACAGGCCTGCTTGACGCACTCTGTCAAGCCGCTGAGGCACATTTAGAGGCACAAGAGACGGGCACTGGTCTGACCTGTGGGCCTGGGCACAAAAGCCACAGACCGCCGTTGAAGTCGAGAGTGCTGCTGCTGCTGCTGCAGGGGCGCGCTGCACCCTGCTCCTCTGCTGGCGGGTCCCAGCGGGGCTGCGCCGGGACTCCGGAGCTGATGCAGCAGAGTACGCACCGGAGCGCTCACGCCGGCCGATCTCAGAGTCCAAAAACTCCAGCAACCAGTTCAGGTCCGCCTCATGACCCACACCATCCCTCGCCCACTCCATCCTGATGGCAGTCGGCAGTCGTTGTAAGAGCACAGGCACCATCATCACGCCATACGCTTCACCCTGCACTCCCAACGCTTCCAAAGCTCTCACATGCGACAAAAGGTTGTCCTGTAGGGCACGAAGGGCATGGACATCAGGAACGGGAGGAGCAAGAATAGAAAGGAGTTGCTGGATATGGTTGAAGATGATACGTTCCGTCCTACCGAAACGATCAGTAAGGATCTTACATGCGGATGCATAGTTAGGGGCACTCAGTGGCAACCCAGCAATACATGTGCTAGCCTCCCCCACTAGCAGTGATCTCAGATACGAGAACTTTGTTATGTCAGGCAAGTCACTGTCATGTACGGACGCTCTGAACATCTCCCAAAAGGCTTGCCACTCAAGTACATCACCCCCAAACTTGGGCAAGTCCAGTTTAGGCAGCTTTACAGTGTGGCTACTCACAGAGATGCCGCCCGATGCAGAGTCAGTCCCTGAGCCACTCACAGCTTTCACCACTTTGGAGAGCACGCAGAGTACAGAATCACGAAAAACTCCAGCCTTCTCGATGTCATCCAGCATCTCACTCTCCGACTCGATGATCAGCTCCAAGTCACTCTGTAGTCCATCCAGGTTGCTCAGTCTGGTCTCCAGCTCCTTCTGGATCACTCTCAAGGCCTCCTGATCACACTGATCCGCATCCAGGAGTTCTTGAGCCTTGTTCATGGTTCTTGAAAGCCACCCCTTGGCAGCCACTCGTTTCTTGTACATCATGGACAAGTCTGGGACCAACGCCATGGCTTAGGCGTGAAAACAGCAAGAATTAAAGCAAATGGTCCACAGTAACAGCAAAAGAAAATTAACAGATCTTGAAACTCTTCTTCTTGGCACAGAGCCAAACAACTGGAAGCTCAAAACTCATCAGAGTAAGGTCCAGTACTCACTTGACCAAAGTCAATCACCATCAGCCTGGTGCAAAACAGAGCAAGCTCACAGCACCCCATCTCAACTGGCTATCACCGGCTTGCACTTACTGCACATCCAAAGGCTCCGTCCCGGGTTTCGGCACCAAAATGTCACGGAACTCAGCACCAAAACTCAGCTCGGATTCTTGCAGGCCGTTTATAACTCAACTTGAACCACGGCACAGAAAACACGGCACACCGCCGCCATCAAACCATAACCACGGCACACCGCCGCCATCAAAAACCAGTAACCACGGCACACCGCCGCCATCAACACACAACAAAAACCTCCAACTCTATAGAAAACCCGACTCCCGGTCAGCTGACCGCCGGAGGCGACCAATCCGACGCCAGGCGCCGTCTCTCGGCAGCACCGACTTGGCCGAACGGTCAGCACCGATCGAGGCGACCTCTATTATCCGGCATTGCCAAAAATTCCCGAAAGAGGCGCTACTAATCCGTAACACTAATGAAAGAATCGTGTTCATGCGTTTGCAGACCGCAATATCTTTATGCTGAAAACCAGTGAGGATGACTTTGTACGAAATATTTCTTCCCTCGAACAAATAACCAACATTTTCCCAGAATGCTTTCACTCGAGGACAGTGCCACAGCATATGCCCTATCGTTTCTGTATGGTATTGGTGACAATTTTGACATTGATCGTTCTCCTTGATTTTATACAAGAACAGAAGTCTATTTGTTGGCAAAATTCTTTTGACACATCTGTAATTCAGCCATCGTAAATTGACATCTTCGACTGCGAAATGTAATGTTGCGTAAATTTTAGTCCATTTTAAACGCCGTCCATTAGCAATTTCTGCCTCCCATTTGGTAAGGTACTTTTCATCTAAGTTCTTTCCCAATTGACCTAGAATACGCCCACTTTGCTGATTTCGGTGATTCTTTCAGACGTTCGATCAATTCTAGATTGTCACTACCGCGCATGTTTCTTATTCTCTGTCTCCAGGAGGCTGGAACGGCGTATCTTATCACGTATGCAATCATAGGATGCACTTGAAATTTTTGAGAAATTTCATTTACTGCCAGCATCTAATATCAGAAAAGTAAATAATTCCCTTTTCTATCATCTGCTGCCTTTTAATGGTGGTATTTTCTCAATATTTAGATCTTTGTTCGCCCAAAGTAAATTATTTGGTAACGAATCTGTGGGAGTTGCATTAGTCTGATTGATTTGTCTCCATGCAAGACACGTCTCCTCCCAGAATGCGTTTTTAACTATTCTTTTTATGATATCTGCATTCGCATTGCAATGGAACAGAGATATTTCATTATTAAAGGGACTATCCCACCTTTAACATGGGGTTTGAGTTGAGATAGCCATGGGGTTTGAGCTCTGGCCAAAAAAACTTGTAAAACTCGCCGGTATATCCAGACGGACCAGGTGAGGTATTGTTTTTTTATTGAAAACACCGCTAGAGTCAACTCTTCTATTGTGAGGTCTTCCTCACATAAATTTCGTTCTGCTAGCGTTAAAGGGACTATCCCACCTTCTAAAATGTTGTTAAAACCAGTTAAATTGTGCCCGACTTTATAGATTGGATGACCAGGAACACGGTTCTGGCATTTATTTTTCATTTAACATCTTTGGCTTCCCATATTCCAAACACAAACTTTCAAATATGTGACGTCACAGCCCAAAATTACCTCCTTCCCCAGGCCACATTACTGTCATAAAGCTGATTCTTTTTACTCTGTAGGCACCACAACAAAGTTCAGACCAAGTTTTAAGCGATTTTTTCAACGAACAAACCCATTTAAATCAGAAAGACTAAACGAGGTGACGTCACACTAACGGTTGCTCCATGTTGAAGATAGGGCCTTGCACAAGGCCCATTTTCAAATGAAGGGAACGAATTTCTTCAACACCAAGAGGCCGCGGGGGTTGCAACCTAGATAGATAGTGGTTTCTGGACCTCGCCGCAAACTTGGCTATCTCAACTCAAACCCCATGTTAAAGGTGGGATAGTCCCTTTAATTGTGGAAGGTGTTCTGTAAACATGGTCTGCAATTCATTTACTGGTCTTCTTTCAAATAATGTTTCGAAATATCTTTTTCCGTCTTCTAACATCTGCTCAGTTTTATTCGAAAGTATTCTGTCGTTATCTTTCTTTAAGTACATTTCTCTCATGATGTTTCTAGGGTATAATTTCGTTTATTTAAACTATGAAAAAATTTTGAGCCTTTTTCAGCGAAAGCCCTCCAGCGTACTTTTGCCCAAAATATTCCTTTTTCGGTCATCTCAGTAATAATTTCATTCGTCCTGTCTCGGAGTGCAATAAACTCGTCATCTAGAATATTCTCTTCGTGTTTTTTATTTATCTTAAGTTCCACTTTATTTAGCTCATTGATACACCCCCGTCTTTTCGTTGCTACATACTTTATTATATCTCCGCGTAATACGCAAAGTAACGTTTCCAGCAGAATTGCAGCAGAGGAGGCACTTCGTTCGTTCAGACTGATTATTTCGGGAATCCTGTTTTTTATATATGATACAAAATTGTCTTCTTTTAACAAGCTGTTGTTAAATTTCCAGTATCCTTTTCCTATGTCAACATTAGGTATATTTACCGATAAAGTGATCAACTTATGATCCGACAAATACCCGTCTAGGATTTTTGCTCTAGGCTTTACCATGCTTTACCTCACTCAAAACTTTTTTACCACCTCCTGGAGGATTCATTTTTACCGAACCCGCAAGACAAGAGTATATTTAAAGGGTACCTCGCTGCTACCATTATGTGCATGGTAACGGTATGTGGGTAAATTGAAGTTATTCGCCAGCAAAGAGTATTATTACCATGTAAATATCAATATTACTCTCGCAATCCTGAACAGGACGAAAACTCTTTGCTCCTAGGTATTGTGACTCTTGTGCAGGTGGTCGTTCCATGCGTGGATCTTGTTTACCCTCGTGAATATAATATTTGAAAGAGTATCAATCAGCCAATCAAAAACGAGATCGGCCGTTTGAAGGTTGAAGGCCGCGCGCATCTGTCAGTTTTCCGCCGTTAGTCTCCGAGAGAGGGTGTGCGCAGTGTCGGTGTGGCGCGAGGTGGCCGTTGGTGATTGTGCTTGTGTGCTGTTCATCGCCTATAGAGCCTCTGCGGACATTTTATTGTAAGTACCGATGTGATGGAGCATTACGTGCTGTTGAGTGGTGCTAGTTTGATCTGGCTTACAGATCCCGCGCACGGCCACGTGGCAGAGTGTTGTAAGTAGGTACATAAACTT